CTGAAACTTTCAGGAAATGCAGTCCCAACCTTCATCTTTTCAGTCTAGTTAGTTTTGTTTTGTTATTTTTATCCATGTAAAAGATATAATAATTTTTTTAATGCAGTTAAGAAGCGATATTAGTTAGTTATTTATAATTTAAAATTTAGATGGCTTTGACTTAGTCAATTCATGTTTGGTAGAGAAATGTCAAAACTGTCAAAAATAATTCATAAATATTATTTGTGCGTATTTCTTTGGTAAATTTTGTATATAACATAATATGTCATATGTTATATACAAAACTTTTTAAAATAACCAAAGGAATACCACAAATAATAATTATGAAATATATATATATATGATTATATATTATATACATTATAATGAAGTATTTAATTGGCTAATTGGTGTTTAAAGAAGAATAATGTAAAAAATATATTCAAGATTCTTATGGTTTATATCGTAAAGTATAATAAGTAAAATTAATAAAGAGTTAATTTAAACGTATAAAAAATGCGTTAAACAGTTTTTTGTCGGTTTCTTTCACAATTTAAACAAAGTTAGTCTTGTTCTATTATTTTGATCCCTTTAGTAAGGCACTGAATAGTTAAAAGTTATATGTATTTATTTTAAATGTTAGTGTTGGAAAAAAAATTACAGAATCTGTAAATACGTCTTTAAATTTTAGTTTTTAGGTAACTGGTTAAAATAAAACATGTTATAATAGAATATTTTTTGGTTTTTGCTTATTTTTAACAATTTAAAACTTCTCAGAACTTGAATATTTTTTAAGAGAAAGATATGATATGTTCTTGCATTTCTAATTGCAATTACCTAAATTCATGAATCTCGAACACTCCGTCATTTGTTACACTTGCAAACTTGCAATCTTTTTGAAATCACAATTTAAATACGCACAAATAATATTTATGAAATATTTTTGACAGTTCTGACATTTCTCTACCAAACATGAATGAAAGTCAAAGCCATCTAAATTTTAAATTATAAATAAAACTACCCTAGTAGCAATGGAATTGGACAAGATTCTTTGTCAAGATACTTGGAAAAGCACTTTGTAAAGAATTGGACAATTCTTGACCAAGACTCTTGATCAAAATTCTTTATCCAGACTGGTGCCAGACTTGCGACAAGTCTGTGACCAGAATTCGACCAGATTCTTGGCCAAGAATTTTGACGTATACGTCAAAATTCTTGCCTATACAGGGTGTCCCGAAATTGGGGGGCCAAACTTAAAAAGTGCATTCTTTATAGAAAAATAACACTTGTTTGTTTAATAAACATGTATCAAAAAATGCCTCCTAACGGAGCTACGGCCCCCTGAATAGGAGCCTAAGAGGATCATTTTTTTTAAACTATTCCTAGAGGTTTGAACAGGAAGATATAAATTTTTGATACTTTGGTAATTTTGACATGCTGAATCTAGATCTTGGATCAAAACTGTTAAAATTGAATCAAAGGCGTTACATTTGGGGGGGCAAAGTTACAAAAATAGCCCTAACTTTTTTCTAGGTTAATGTTTTAATTTTTGTTTATGAAGTTATGAAAATTTATAGTTTTTCACGAAAAATAGGTACTCTTTATTTAGATCGTTCAGATGCACCATTTTCGAGAAAAATGCATTTATAAATAAATTACTCTCATTTTTATTATCTCATATTTTCATTAAAATGTTCATAAAGAAATTAATTTTTGGTACTTTGGTAATTTTGACATGCTGAATCTAGATCTAAGATCAAAACTTTTAAAATTTCATCATAGGCGTAACATTTGGGGGGGCAAAGTTACAAAAACATCCCCAATTTTTTTCAGAGTTAATATTTCATATTTTTTTATAAGATTATAAAAAATATAACTATTATAAATAACCCAAACGTCACTTTTGTCCTAAAGCCTACTAGAAAATTCTTGCCTATACAGGGTGTCCCAAAATTAGGGGGCCAAACTTAAAAAGTGCATTCTTTATAGAAAAATATCACTTGTTTGTTTAATAAACATGTATCAAAAAATGCCCCCTAACGGAGCTACGGCCCCCTGAATAGGAGCCTGAGAGGATCATTTTTTTAAACTATTCCTAGAGGTTTGAACAGGAAGATATAAATTTTTGGTACTTTGGAAATTTTGACATGCTGAATCTAGATCTTAGATCAAAACTGTTAAAATTGAATCATAGGCGTTACATTTGGGGGGCAAAGTTACAAAAATAGCCCTAACTTTTTTGTAGGTTAATGTTTTAATTTTTGTTTATGAAATTATGAAAATTTATAGTTTTTTACGAAAAAAATCATTATTTAGATCGTTCAGATGCACCATTTTCGAGAAAAATGCATTTATAAATAAATTACTCTTATTATTATTATCTCATATTTTAATAATAATAATAATAATAATAATTTATTGCCCAACAGAATACATATTCCAATTACAGGACAAAGTACACAACATGTAACATTATATAAAAAAAAATTATAAAAGAAAAAAGATATAAAATGAACTTAATATTTTGTTAAAAAAAACATATAATAAAAAATAATATCATTAATAATATAAATTAAATAAAAATTAAAATTCCAAATTATTTTGACCGAGAAAAAAAAAATCATGAGCTCTGGACGTAATTTCCTTAATGTTTGAATTAAAGAAATCGCACTGGTTACCTATACAATTATAATTACTACACATAACATGAACAGGAGATTTCAAAAGCACGTTAGTTCTTGAGGAACTACAATAAAATGTTTTACTTCCACGAGATTCCAAACGTGGCACTAAAATATTTAAGAGACTCAATAAATGACAAGAATCAATTTGGTAATGAAAAAGTTTCCACAGAAATTTTAAACTTGTCACTATTCGTCTAACATGTAGGGTATCAAAATTAAAACGCGTTAAGAGGATGTTATGGTCAGTTCCTCTAGCAGGATAAATATGATCAACTCTGTAGGAGAGAAGTTTAAGGAATCTTCTTTGTACTTTTTCAATTGAGTTAATATGTACGTTATAATACGGGTACCAAATAAGTGAGCAATATTCGAGCTTTGTTCTAACAAGATAAAAATACATTGATTTTAGTGCTGTGATGTTACAAAAATTGGTAGAATTCCGACTTATAAAACCCAGGAGCTTTAAAGCAGATTGCACAGTATTATTAATGTGGGATGTAAAAGAAAGCTTATTATCAAAGAGTACACCAAGGTCACGAATTTCATGACAGCGAGGAAGAATAGTATTATCTAAATTGTAATTAAATATGAAGTGCGTATTTTTAAGACTAAAGGTACAGATTTTGCATTTAGAAATGTTTAGGTCGAGTTTGTTAACTTTGCACCATCTTAAAATAATGCTTAACTGATCCTGAAAGAGTTCGCAATCTGTATAACTGGAAATACTGGTAAATATTTTTAGGTCATCAGCAAACAGTAGATGATTACAATTAAGTTGTAATGACAAGTTATTAATAAATAAAATGAACAAAAGCGGACCCAAGTTAGAGCCTTGTGGTACTCCACTGCTCGCATAGAAATAATCGGAGTTGTAGCCATTATATGAAACAGATAATTTGCGCTCACACAAATATGAATAAAACAAATTAATGAGGGAGTGACTAAAACCAAAAAAGTGTAACTTATTAAGCAAAATTTGGTGATCGACCCTGTCAAAGGCCTTAGAAAAATCAGTGTATACAGCATCTACTTTTCATTAAAACGTTCATGAAGAAATTAATTTTTGGTACTTTGGTAATTTTGACATGCTGAATCTAGATCTAAGATCAAAACTTTTAAAATTTCATCATAGGCGTAACATTTGGGGGGGGGCAAAGTTACAAAAAAATCCCCAATTTTTTTCAGAGTTAAAATTTCAAATTTTTTTTATAAAATTATAAAAAATATAACTATTATAAATAACCCAAACGTCACTTTTGTCCTAAAGCCTACTAGAAAGTTTTAATGAAAATATGTGATAATAAAAAATAAGAGTAATTTATTTATAAATGCATTTTTCTCTAAAATGGTACATCTGAGCGATCTAAATAAAGAGTACCTATTTTTCGTAAAAAACTATAAATTTTCATAATTTCATAAAAAAAATTAAAACATTAACCGGAAAAAACCTAGGGCTATTTTTGTAACTTTGCCCTCCCAAATGTTACGCCTATGATTGAATTTTAACAGTTTTGATCTTAGATCTAGATTCAGCATGTCAAAAATTTATATCTTCCTGTTCAAACCTTTAGGAATAGTTTAAAAAAAATGATCCTCTTAGGGTCCTATTCAGGGGGCCGTAGCTCCGTTAGCGGGCATTTTTTGATACATGTTTATTATACAAAAAAATGTTATTTTTCTATGAAGAATGCCCTGTTTAAGTTTGGCCCCCTAATTTCGGGACACCATGTATAGGCTTGCGCGAGAATCGCAAAAAAAGAATTGTCTTTATTTATCTTTCATAAATAGATAATTAGAAAAAAAGGTTTTACAAAATATACTTCTGTAATTCCCGAACTAGTTTATATAGAAACATTTTTCAGATTATTGCAGTAATTAATTGCCAGTCAAGAGTTTCATAAATTAATTAATGTTTACTAATTTAGAATATTTTTTTATAAAACTTTGTTAATTTATCAAGTGAAAAAATAACAGTGAAACTTTTTACAATGATATGATTTTTGAATAATTTTTTCATGATTTTAAATTTTGCATAGAGAAATTTACCAAAGGATTGAAGGATTCCAGTTAATATTAAAAAAACATATTATTTATTGAATAAATTTATTCTTAAAAAAGTGTACGTCCATACATATAAAAAACATAGTTTGTACCATCAATGACCAAATATTACTGTTATTTATAAATTTATATGATATAATTATGCAAAAAACTCATACTGCCTATATAAATAAACTATTAGATTTTTAAATTCGATATAATTGTTTAAAGTTCTGCACAACCATACCTAATTTTAAAAAAATACACATATTCATGTAAGTTGTTTTCTCTAATCTATTAGTTTTCATGTAGTAATGGTACAATATATTGGATATTTTCTTCAATTAACTGACCAAAATTAACAGCTGGCATCCGATAGCACTTTTGCAACACTGAATAGAAAGGGACTGAAACTAATTCAGGCATCAGGTCCGAGCATTTGAAAAAATCAGTGCATGGTTGTGATGGAATATTATACTTGTACATCTTTTCTATCTTATTGTATCTGCGTACAATTAAGTGATAAATGCCGTTTACAAGGATGATATTTTCTATTAGACAAACTGAATTGTCTTTCAGTAAACAATTCCTGTCTTTTCGCTCTGTTGACCATAGAAAATTTTCTGATGTTATTTTCGTGTACTGAATACATTCTTCTAAATAACCTAATGGAAGTGGCCCTTTTGTATGCGGCGCATATGCACAGATTGAATTACTGCTTCTTATATTTCTTGTTTTATAGTACATATTTTTTTCTTGCGTTCGCCTTAAAAATTGTTGAAGTGGGCGATAATGAGTTCTTACACTTTTATGAATTTCCGGCATTTTATTCTCATAACAGAATGCTGAATGTGAATCGAGAGGTCCTAATCGTTTTACATCATCGACGAGATGTACCAATCCATGAATGTTAAAGCTCATAAAATCTTTTCCATAAATTTCAGGAGCTTTATTCACAAATAAATTTAATGCATGTTTTGCGTATATTAATTGAGCTTTAGTTGGTGATGGTGTAGCCAGAATTCGTATCGAAGTATGCAATAATATAAAATGCGTGTATACATAATCTGGTAATATATTTAACAAAACACAGGGACCTGCATATAACAGAAAATGTCTAAACTGTGTCGCTTTGTATTTTGCAAAAGATGATACTGCATCAGGTCGACGAGCAAATTCGGATGGACACCATTCGTCTAAAGATTTCAACCGTCGGTCCAATTCTTCTATCTGTTCTGCAGTTAATTTTTGGAAACCAGAAAATTTTCCCTCTATCCATGCATGGAATAATTTTTTCATTACGCCTAACAGCACTAAATGCATGTAATCAAATGGAACGTTTGATACAGGATTAATTTTTAAAAGTGATAATGGACTTTCACCCGTTCTATGATGTTTTTTATCACCACGTGCATTATATTCTTCATTAGTTCGTTGACAATGATTAACTCCTAAAAAACACATACGACGATACCTATACTGCCCAACTATTTTACATTTTGAACAAGCATTGTATGAAGTATGTCCAACATGTTTTAAAACATAGGCTCTTGCCGGGGCATCTCCAATGAAACAGTTGAATTTCACTGAAATCAATTTATTTTGGAAATTTATTCCGCCCTTTTCTTCTATAACTTTAAATTCATCAGCTACATATTGGAACAGTTCACTAGAATCCGAAGGTTTTTCCTTTCCCAGATACAATCCGATTATGATTGGAAGTGTATTAGGCACATTAATTACTCTTATCTGAATAGGCCAATATGACTTGGTACTGTGATTATCAGCTACAGCACCATCAGTGCTTATATCAAGTATTAATTCGGAAGGAACATTATGAACACTTGATAATAACTCAATTAATGACTTTGATAAACCAATATGTACATATTCACCTGGTTCCATGGCAATCAATGTAATAGGAGCTTGTGGAGTGTTTAATAATGTACGGATGTCTTGAGGAAATTTTTTAAAACAATTATGAGTTGAAATGATTTTTAATATACTGTTACCTTGAACAGTATTAATATTATTTTCGACAAAGCATCGTGCTAAATCGTTTTTTAAGCGATCACATTCACAAGTAGACATCTCCTGAAATTTAACATCAAAGATTTTATTAACTAATTGTATACAATTAATTGAAAAAAAAATTATCTGATTAAGATACTTACCAAAATGTATAGATGTTAATATTTTTAATTTTAACTGATTTATTTGTTTTACAACACCATCCACTTATTATTATTATTATTTTCTTTTATGTACATTTATCTGAAGTTTTGGTGCACGATTTTTTATTGTTTATAAACAAATCTGACATTTCTCTCACCTAAATTGTAGTTAGTGAGTCAGTCAGGTGAGAGTAAAGTCAGAGAACTATATACCTTGTGTTTATTTTCGTTGATATAAGTAGACACATGAATACTAGCTTATAGTATTGTGAATAAAAAACAAGAAAAGTTACTAAATTATGAAATCTGATGTCTTTTCATTGATACGCCAAATATAAGATTTTCCCTCATTCTTTTAATGAAAAATAATTAATCAACACTGCAACAATCCTCATCTGGAAACTTTACATTTCAAAACTACATGGACCTCATAATCCTGATGTTTGTCGATACAAATAAGTCAATTCAATATTTATTTTAGGAGTATTAAATTTTGAATACCTGCATAGAAAAAACGATTGAACCAAGTAAAAAATTCTCTTCAAACTGTTTTGATTCAAGAAAATTTTCTTTTACTGAGAAATTTCAAGTACTTGCTACAATAGACTTGTATCTTGACTCAAGTAAATTTTCTTGTCTCAAGAACATTTGTAGTCTTGGCTCAAGATTTTTGATGGAGGAAAAAGAAATTTAATTAAAAAAATTTTTTTTTGTGAACACCCAGAGGACAGTGAATTAAATTTTAAGCATCGCAGCTATTGAAAAATTCTGAATCCTCTCGGGATCGAACCCACGACCCGCTAAGAGTGAAGTAGACATGCAAGCTACTGTGTTGAGTTACCAATACCCAATAACTATTTACATACCATGGGAGGAAAATAATGCTTTTCCTCCCGCAAATAATTAAAATATTCAAGGGAGGAAACGCATTTTCCTCCTGAGGTATGTATATAGTTTTTTCTACTACCTTACTGGAAAACTTAAATTCCACCCCCGAGCGAGAAAGGAAAATACCTCTTTTCCTCCCCGGGAGGAAAAAAAATTTCCTTCCTCTATTTTTGTTTAACAATTTTACATTATAGAGGGAGGAAAAGAGGCAATTTCCTCCCTAGCTCGGGGGTGGAAAATTAAGTTTTCCAGTAAGATAGTAGAAAAAATATATATTTTTTTCATCTACATAGTTTATAATAGGTTCCAACTCAGGCCGTACTTTCACTATTAGAGTTTTGAGTGGGGGTACAGTTTAAGACCAAGAACAGAATTTTAACAGAATTGCCGGTAGCAAGTGAATTGTTGTTTCCACTTTTGAACTACGAACGAGAAGTAAACGTTTGATTCAAGAATTATATTTTAAGAAAAATAAAACCTCTGCTTAAGAGAATTTTCTTCAAACTCGATCGCAACAATTTGTTTGAGCCAGGAATATTCGTTTTTAGCCCACATTTTTTTCCACCCACCCTTAGTTGTGGCTAGTTCAGTGCAAGTGAAATTATTATGCAGCGTATATGCCCGAGAGCCGAATGGGACTCGCAGTGGGTACATGGCCAGTTGTGCTCATAATAAACTCTTTATCAAATACGAAAAGCTGCTACTATGTATTAAAGCTCTACTGATCACAACTGGTTTCAAAGTCTCCAATGAGCTGTTATGTCTTAGAAGTAATTCGATAATTTTTTAAAGATTTTTATTAATTGTTTTAAAAGCTAAGTGCAGTTATTTTTTAACGCTATACGATTGATCAGTTTATTCACGACCTAGAAAATGTATCAATATAATTTAATTTTAATATCTATTTATTACTATTTTAGCTATATAATAAACTTTAAACTACTCTGATAGGGAGGGTCAACTACCATAGCAAAAATAATAATAATATCAAAAGTAATATTAAACCACTTTTAGTCTTCATTATTTTCCTGTATTCTTCTATTTTCATCAAAACGTCCATACTTTGCTTTTATAGTTGTGGCACATGATCTTCGGGGCGCTGGATTATTCGGTTGATGATGTTTAAGACTATCACGTAACGATTGCTTGCCTGCTTCTATAGCTGCCTTCATGTGTTTACTAAATTCATCCGATGTTAATTGTTTTTCTTTTTGACACTGGTGAATGGCTTCAAAAAAGACATTAGAAATTTTTGAATCGAATAAACCACGCATTTCTGGACGATTTTTCAAGTTGTGAGAGCTCCATTGCAATTTTTTAAAAATATTTGGTGAAAATGTCAGATAGTAAAATTTGCGAATAGAGTATTTACAGTTGGATGAGCCCGCTTCTTTTTGAGCTAAATAATTTTGTAATTGATTCTGAATCTCTTGATTGTACTCGTCTTCTTCATAAGCATCATACTCATCGAGTGAATTTATAGGAAAACCTGGAGGACGTTGGTTTTGATTTTCAATGTTGTTATGTCGTGGAGGGTTTGCAACCATCGGTTCTCTTTGTCGTAACATATTCTCCAGATGATCCATTCTTTCATCTTGCTTTTCTTCAATCCTTCTCAAGCTTGTCGCTATTAAATTTTCAATACGTTGATACTGCAAATTATTATTGTCTATGTTTGGTGGTTGTACAGGTTCCGTCTGTTGAGATTTCGCTTCATTATTATAATTATTAAGTTGTTGATATTCTGAATTACCAGCATTTTGTTGATCATTTTTGGATAAATGTACAGGAAGAGGTGAATCTTGAATTACATTTGATCTTATTTGTATATTTTTTGAATTTTTTATGACACTATCGTATTTAGGCGTAGTACGTTTTGTCTTCGACTGATCATAATCATTATGCTGGATACAAAGGCCAGAGTTGTTTTTTATATTATCCTTTGGATTCAATTGTTTTTTTGTAACATCAAATGATTGTTGTGTTGTTTTACTTTCAGTTGTAGGAGGTAATTCATTGGGTAGTTCTATTTTTGGTAAGTTATTGACTTCTTCAGTAATACTATCAAACATGTCCAACATGGATGTATTCATATCATCATTTTTTTGTTCTTCAGTTTTTTCAGGGTCGCTTAATTCATTATCCAGGTCATCATCTGTTATTCTATCATCATCCTCCAGATAATCATCTCGCGTCTTGCCACTCGATGACTGGAATCTGTTTGGCTTCTTGACACTTCTGCCTGATCTTCTTGCTCTCGATTCTGGTTGATTAGGGTTCATATTTTGTATCTGTAAAAGTTAAATGCACAAACATATTAATATCAATACTTAAAATTTTATGTTATGTAACCACAATACAGTTTAAAAATTTAGTTTAAAAATTTTAAATCTAGTGTTAATATTTTACTGTTTTAAATGCAAGCAAGTAAAAGTTTAACATTTATTCTCAGGTTTTCAATTTGATAATTACTAGACAAAGTTGTTCTGCTAAATTTGAATTACTTTAAAGCAATAAACGTAGTACTTTAAATTAAATTTTCTTACTACCTCGACTCAAAATACGTTGTTTCGTCCCCGATTCCACAGCAGAAAGTTTACGTTTCTTGCATTGGTCAGGCTATACGCGCACACTCTAATAGCGGGAGTAAAAATTTTTTAGTCGTGTGCTTAACATTCAAATTTCGTACTGCCAACATGAAAAACACAAAAATATGACAGTTTTAAACCATAATTTTGCAATTATAACAACAAATAAACAATTTATGTTTTTACTTTTTTACTTTTTATGTTGTTTTAAGTGTTTAATGGTACTTTTATTTGTTATAAAGTAGTAATTTGTTAATTAAAATACAACCTTTTATTTCTACTGTATTGGCACCGCTGAATTACCATGACAACGCTACAGTTTGATTGATTTTGAATGTAAACGTCAGAATTAAATTAAACGTCAGATTTTAATTTTGACACAAGTTTTTTTATATACATTTAATTTTTTCCCGTATTTTCTGCCGGGTAGCAAGAAAAATAGTATACACTACACGGGCAGAAAGTGTAAGAGCCCTGAACTGCGCGCCATGATGCCCTCGGCTTCGCCTCGGGCATCATGGCGCGCAGTGCAGGAATCTCACACTTTCTGCCCTTGTAGTGTAATATACTATTTTTATAAATTATGACAAGTGAGAATAAAAAGAATAACAATTGTAGTAAAATTTGTTTTCAATAATACAGTGAGGTTAATTTTTATTTTCTACTACAATCAAGATTTTATTCAAGTGATATTTTATTCAATGTATTCTAGATGCAAAACAAATTTGTAATAGTATATTCTGTAAAAATTTTGGAATACGGCATATTCCGCTCGAGTGGAAAGTTTGTCACACGAGCCAAAGGCGAGTTTGACGGTTTCACGAGAGCGGAATATGCATTTCCAAACGTGTTTCAGACTATACTTTTTCTACGTTTCCATGAAAATAATTTAATTGGGAAAAAGTGAGGTTGGATTTGTCTAAAATTTGTTAGATAATAAACACAGAGATGTCGCCACCATTGTTTATTCCATCATACGTTGATGGAATAATTTCATTCTGTAATACTTTAACGGAATATACGTCATTCAACATTAAAAAGTTATATTAGAACGGTCATATTCCATAATGGGAGTAGAAAAAAATTTATTACTTACCAATTGTAATTTATGAAAATGCCAGATAAAACTTTTTTATTCGATATTTTTCTATTTAATGGCAATTAAACTTAACCATAAATCATCGTCGGGTCATCGGACGTTAAAGAACGACAAAAACACGTTTAACGTCTAGGATTCCCATACAGCACACTACATCCCATGGACGTCCATTATATATGTATTTTTTTGGTTCTATAGAATTTATAAATTAGGACCTTTATGCACATTTATTGTATTCTTTTCAGAGAATAAGACGAAATAAGCGTTAAACTGACAGATGCCTAACCTCAGTTTTTTGTATTCAAATGTCAAAGTGGAACTTGCGAGGAACCAAATACTGTAGAATGTATTGTACAGTATTTGGTGGAAAATAGTACCTATCTGTAATACAATGTAAGTTTTGAAAAAAAACGCATTAAAACAGTATAAAAAATATACCTATACGGTTTTAACACGTTTATTAATTTTAAATTAGAGGCTTTATAGCCTGCTCTAAATTTAAATGTTTTAACATTATCGTTATAAAAATTTATTGAAATTAACGACTTTTTATTTAACTTACCTGCTGCAGTTAAATAAGCACTCCCGCTGTTTACGTGTTATGTACGTCCATTGCTTACAATGTCATTAAATGTACGTCCGTTAGTACATGCATCTAATGGACGTCCAAAACTGTGACAAAGTAACCTTAAATGGAAATCCGTAGGACGTCTGATATGTCGACGGACGTTTAATGTACGTTCACAAGTACAAAAAATATGTATTTTATAATCGTTCATGTTCATAAAGAGTAAACTCTAGTTACGCGTCACACACTTTTTTTTTAATTTTTAGAAATAACAATTTTTATTTTTGAAAAAATCAATTTTTTTCTTTGCTAGAAGACGAATCCAATAAGCTCTTGTTCGTATTTTCAGACAAACGGAAAAACTCGATTCATTTCCTACAGAAAACTCACTTCTCGACTAGTATACTCTCTTAAAATGATTTAGTCTAAAATAAATAATTATAAGTCATATATGACTAATTGTCAAAGCGAAAAAACAGTCACTAATAATTAGTCAAATTCTACTAAATGAAATAGTCAAATTAGTAGATTTAAATTTAAAAAAGTTGTGACCCAGCCGGGGTTTGAACTCCGATCTGTCGCTTGTCAAGCTTGTCAAGCGGATGTCATAACCAATCACTATCAGTCACTTTTATAAAAAATAATTTTATTTGTCTATAAATATTGTTCATAATATTAAAAAAACGATTAAAGAAATTAGGTACTTTTAACTATTCGAAACAGTCAAAGATGGTGACTTATCTTAAATTAGTCAAACTTTAACTATTTAAGTAGTAAAATATAACCATTTTAAAGTAAAAACGACTACTTTATTAGTAAAAAATGCTGGTACTAATTCAAATAGTAGAATTTTGACTATTTCATTTAATAGTGTAGAGTATTGTGAATGATGCTACTCAGGGCCGGACCTAAGGGGGGTGTAGGGGGGGGAGTCGCCCCCCAAAGTTTAGGCAGTTGGTTTTAAATCCAAACACGGTTGGCAAAATCTATTTGGGTAGGTTGGTAGGGTTTACCTACCCTACCAACCTACTCATCACAATAAATAAAATATAATTTTTAAACCATACATATTAGAAATTGTAATTTACAATATTATAATTTTTAACCTATTGTAACCTCCTATAATTGTTACCGTAAATAAAATTGTATTTTTTAGGTTTAACCTAGTAGGTTCCATTTTTTATATTTATAGCGTATACTTTTTATACTAGAGGGCCCAAGAGGACAAATGGACCAAAAGTCATTCTTCATAAAAAGTTCTGCTTGTTTTTAAAAGTCTATTACTATACTTTTTGAAAATTTTATACGGGGGGTCGAAAAACAAGAAAACATGAAATACTCTCAGGAATACACTACTATATACCTTTATTTTTCGTTTTGGAGCAAAATGACAAATAATATTATTAGGATATCCTATCCAAAGACTAATTGTAAAATTTCAATTCAGTATTCCAAATTTTCTTTTTCTTATAAAGTTTTAAAATTTAATTTTTAATTTATACTTTTGTACCTCATTTAACATATCCTTTACCTATAGGTATATATATGTATAGGGTTCTTAACCCGGACATTTTGTGAAAATTTACATTAATTACCAAAATGAACAATGATAGAATGCAAATTGTCAATTTGACGTTACTTGATTATTGTTGATTGTGTCATTTTTGTAAATATGAAATTAAATTTTAAAACTAAGAAAAATAAAATTTGGAATAATATTCCAAATTTTATTTTTCCGAATACCAAGTTAAACTTTTACAAATGGTCTTTGGATACAATTTGAAATCTTTTTTTTATTTGTCATTTTGCTCCAAATCGAAAAATAAAGGTAGTTTACTCCTGAGAGTATTTCATGTTACCTTGTTTTTTGACCCCCCTGTATAATATTTTCAAATTTAAAGTATGGCAATAAACTTTTTAAACAAGCAGAACTTTTTATAAGGAATGACTTTTGGTCGAAAAATGAAAATTTTAGTCCATTTGTCCTCTTGGGCCCTCTATCCATGGACATACTGTATAAAAAATAAGTTGGTTTTTTATCGTCTCCGCCCCCCCACAAAAAGTGTGCCTTGGTACGGCTCTGATGATACTGTAGAATGAAAACCTCTACTCTATAGATTTCTGGTCAAATTCTTGTCAAAATTCTGGCCACAGTCTGGCTCAAGTCTTGCCCAATAATCTTGGCCAAGAATCTGGAACAATTCTTGTCCCATTCTTGATAAAAAATCTGTACAAAGTATCTTGACCCATTCTGGCCCAAGTCTTGCCCAATAATCTTGGCCAAGAATCTGGAACAATTCTTGTCCGATTCTTGATAAAAAATCTGTACAAAGTATCTTGACCCATTCTGGCCCAAGTCTTTGACAACATTGCCACTAGGGTAACAATATCGCTTCTTAACTGCATTAAAATAGTATATTATGTATCAAGTTTTATAAACACCATTTTAGTTACGAGTTTTATTAAGCACGAGCGAAGCTTGCAAGCGAGTGTTTAATAAAAACGAGTGTCTAGATAAGTTTATAAAACGAGTTGCATACTATACTTTATCTACGACGACCACAAAGAAGAATTTAAATCCAATTTTATTTGTTAAACATTTGACATCTTTGACAACTTCAGTCCGTGTAAAATGCCCAAAAGCCACTATTACTAACTTCAGCCCGTGACTAAAACGCCATAAAGTCACAGCTCGTCAATGTAGGAGTAGATAAAAATTATTATATCTTTTACATGGATAAAAATAACAAAACAAGACTAACTAAACTGAAAAGATGAAGGTGGGGACTACATTTCCTGAAAGTTTCAGATTTTTATTTTTTCCTCAACATATTGATTTCTGAGGGCAAAATTGGCTAATTTAGAAAATTATCAAGTTATAATAATTTTCTTAATAAAAAAAATGATAATCTAGAAACTTAAAATAATAGTTACGTTTTCTATTGTATAAGTACTTAATACCTGAAAAAAGCAACTTTCTAGATTTAGCAGAATAGGCACAGGAGCCAGACAAAAATCACAAAAATTGGCAAATTA